AGTCCTTGCTTCAGGTCTCGTCGCGAGTCCTTGCTTCAAGTCCTCGTTGCGAGTGCCTTGGCTTCAGGTCCTCGTCGCGAGTCCTTGATTTCAGTCTCGTCGAGAGATCCTTGCTTCAGGGTCTCGTCGCGAGTCCTTGCTTCATGTTTCGTCGCGAGTCCTTCTTTCTGTCTCGTCCGTGAGTTCCGTGCTTCAGGTCTCGTCGCGAGTCCTTGCTTCAGGTCTCGTCGCGAGTGCTTGCTTCAGGTCTCGTCTCTTCTCAACAAAATCAGTTCTCAAATGATTTTTTTTCTAGAGACTTTAAATGGTACGAAATTCACTCTATAGCGAGACTAGAGAGGTACCTGAGTGCCAGTCACCTTACACCTGCTGCCACTGTTTACCTGGCAGTAAGTAGGTACCTGAGTGCCAGTCACCTTACACCTGCTGCCACTTTTACCTGCATGTAAGTAGGTACCTTTGAGTGCCATGTCACCTTACACCTGCCACCACTGTTTACCTGGCAGTAAAAGTAGTACCTGAGTGCCAGTCATCCTTAACCCGCTTTTACTGTTTACCTGGCCGTCAGTAGGTACCTGTGTGTTAGTCACCTTACAACCTGCTGCCACTGTTTACCTGGCAGTAAGTAGGTACCTGTGTGTCAGTCACCTTACACCTGCTGTTACTGTTTACCTGGCAGTAAGTAGGTACCTGTGTGTCAGTCACCTTACACCTGCTGCCACTGTTTACCTGGCAGTAAGTAGGTACCTGTGTGTCAGTCCCTTACACCTGCTGCCACTGTTTACCTGGCAGTAAGTAGGTACCTGTGTGCCAGTCACCTTACACCTGCTGCCACTGTTTACCTGGCAGTAAGTAGGTACCTGAGTGCAGTCACCTTACCCCTGCTGTTACTGTTTACCTGGCAGTAAGTAGGTACCTGAGTGCCAGTCCCTTACACTGCTGTTTCTGTTTACCTGGCAGTAAGTAGGTACCTGTGTGTCAGTCACCTTACACTGCTCCCACGTTTTCCCTGGCAAGTAAGTAAGGTACCTGGTGTCAGTCACCTTACACTGCTGCCACTGTTTACCTGGCAGTAAGTAGGTTACCTGAGTCCCAGTCACCTTACACCTGCTGCCACTGTTTACCTGGCAGTAAGTAGGTACCTGAGTCCCAGTCCTTACCCCTTGCTGCCACTGTTTACCTGGCAGTAAGTAGGTCCCTGAGTGCCAGTAAACCTTACACCTGCTGCCACTGTTTACCGGCAGTAAGTAGGTACCTGAGTGTCAGTCACCTTACACCTGCTGCCACTGTTTACCTGGCAGTAAGTAGGTACCTGAGTGCCAGTCACCTTACACCTGCTGCCACTGTTTACCTGGCAGTAAGTAGGTACCTGAGTGCCAGTCACCTTACACCTGCTGCACTGTTTTACCTGGCAGTAAGTAGGTACCTGAGTGTCAGTCACCTTACACCTGCTGCCACTGTTTACCTGACAGTAAGTAGGTACCTGAGTGTCAGTCACCTTACACCTGCTGCCACTGTTTACCTGGCAGTAAGTAGGTACCTGAGTGCCAGTCACCTTACACCTGCTGCCACTGTTTACCTGGCAGTAAGTAGTACCTGAGTGGTCAGTCACCTTACACCTGCTGCCACTGTTTACTGGCAGTAGTAGGTACCTGAGTGCCAGTCACCTTACACCTGCTGCCACTGTTTACCTGGCAGTAAGTAGGTACCTGAGTGCCAGTCACCTTACACCTGCTGCCACTGTTTACCTGGCAGTAAGTAGGTACCTGTGTGTCAGTCACCTTACACCTGCTGCCACTGTTTACCTGGCAGTAAGTAGGTACCTGAATATCAGCCACCTTACACCTGCTGTTACTGCTTACCTGGCAGTAAGTAGGTACCTGTGTGTCAGTCACCTTACACCTGCTGCCACTGTTTACCTGGCAGTAAGTAGGTACCTGTGTGTCAGTCACCTTACACCTGCTGCCACTGTTTACCTGGCAGTAAGTAGGTACCTGTGTGTCAGTCACCTTAACACCTGCTGCCACTGTTTACCTGGCAGTAAGTAGGTACCTGTGTGTCAGTCACCTTACACCTGCTGCCACTGTTTACCTGGCAGTCAGTAGATATCTGAGTGTCAGTCACCTTACACCTGCTGCCACAGTTTACCTGGCAGTAAGTAGGTACCTGAGTGTCAGTCACCTCTACCTGCTGCCACTGTTTACCTGGCAGTAAGTAGATACCTGTGTGTCAGTCACCTTACACCTGCTGCCACTGTTTACCTGGCAGTAAGTAGGTACCTGAGTGTCAGTCACCTTACACCTGCTGCCACTGTTTACCTGGCAGTAAGTAGGTACCTGTGTGTCAGTCACCTTACACCTGCTGCCACTGTTTACCTGGCAGTAAGTAGGTACCTGTGTGTCAGTCACCTTACACATGCTGCCACTGTTTACCTGGCAGTAAGTAGGTACCTGTGTGTCAGTCACCATACACCTGCTGCCACTGTTTACCTGGCAGTAAGTAGGTTCCTGAATTCAGCACCTTAACACTGCTGTTACTGCTTACCTGGCAGTAAGTAGGTACCTGTGTGTCAGTCACCTTACACCTGCTGCCACTGTTTACCTGGAAGTAAGTAGGTACCTGTGTGTCAGTCACCTTACACCTTCTGCCACTGTTTACCTGACAGTAAGTAGGTACTTGAGTGTCAGTCACCTTACACCTGCTGCCACTGTTTACCTGGCATTAAGTAGGTACCTGAGTGTACAGTCACCTTACACCTGCTGCCACTGTTTTACCTGGCATAAGTAGGTACCTGTTGTGTCAGTTCACTTACACCTGCTGCCACTGTTTACCTGGCAGTAAGTAGGTACCTGTGTGTCAGTCACCTTACACCTGCTGCCACTGTTTACCTGGCAGTAAGTAGGTACCTGAGTGTCAGTCACCTTACACCTGCTAATACTGTTTACCTGGCATTAAGTAGGTACCTGAGTGTCATTCTTCTTACAGCTGCTGACAGTGTTCACCTAGCAGTAAGTAGGCACCTGTGTGTCAGTCACCTTACAGCTGCTGACAATGTTCACCTAGCAGTAAATAGGTTCCTGTGTGTCAGTCCCTTTACACCTGCTGACACTGTTTACCTAGTAGTAAGTAGGCACCTGTGTATCAGTCTCCTTACACCTGCTGATACTGTTCATCTGGCAGGAAGTAGGTACCTGAGTGCCAGTCACCTTACACCTGCTGCCACTGTTTACCTGGCAGTAAGTAGGTACCTGAGTGTCAGTCACCTTACACCTGCTAATACTGTTTACCTGGCATTAAGTAGGTACCTGAGTGTCATTCTTCTTACAGCTGCTGACAGTGTTCACCTAGCAGTAAGTAGGCACCTGTGTGTCAGTCACCTTACAGCTGCTGGCAATGTTCACCTAGCAGTAAATAGGTTCCTGTGTGTCAGTCCCTTTACACCTGCTGACACTGTTTACCTAGTAGTAAGTAGGTACCTGTGTATCAGTCTCCTTACACCTGCTGATACTGTTCATCTGGCAGGAAGTAGGTACCTGTGTGTCAATCTCCTTACACCTACTGCCACTGTTTACCTAGCAGTAAGTAGGTACCTGTGTATTAGTCACCTTACACCTGCTAACAATGCTCACCTAGCAGTAAGTAGGCACCTGTGTGTTAGTCTCCATACACTTGTTGCCCCTCTTCACCTAGTAGTAAGTAGGTACCTGTGTGTCAGTCTCCATACACCTGCAGGTCTGGTCTCCCCAGGGCTGTTCTGATTGTTGGATTGTTCTGATTGTTGGATTATTCATAATCCGAGTGTAGACACGTATACTTGTCCGAGTAGACTTTTAGACACAATTATGATAAATTAGGCACATGTACAACACTTGGTTGTCTATTATGGGAACGTTTCGCCACACAGTAGCTTCATCAGTCCTATACAAAGAAGAATGGTGAAGATCAGAAGGAGTTTGGGGTAATCAGTCCCTGGTCCTCTGTGCCATTTGTCTACAGTTATGTTACCGTGGATGCGCTAAACAAGCAAGGGCCATCTAACGCTTGTAAATAAGCAGCGATATTCGGGTATGATCCACGAGCACAGATGCTTCAGTTGCACGCAGCAAGATCCTTGGAATAGCATGCAAGCCTCTGCAACTGTCTGCAAGTACAGTTGCAGGATCGTTCAATTGCAGGAAGTTCAACTTGACGGGATAAAAAGTTTAAAGTTCATCTCTGTGTGAACTGGACAAATGTGTGAACTGGACAAATGTGTGAACTGGACAAATGTGTGAACTGGACGAATGTGTGAACTGGACAAAATGTGTGCACTGGACAAAATGTGTGCACTGGACAAAATGTGTGCACTGGACAAAATGTGTGCACTGGACAAAATGTGTGCACTGGACAAAATGTGTGCACTGGACAAAATGTGTGCACTGGACAAAATGTGTGCACTGGACAAAATGTGTGCACTGGAAAAAATGTGTGCACTGGACAAAATGTGTGCACTGGACAAAATGTGTGCACTGGAGAAATCTCTGCATTTATTAAAAACGGCCACACAATGGCGTACCTTTTTCATCGAAAGCCATTGTGCTGGTGTAACTATTTGGGGGCAGGGGTTATGAAGGGCCTGAGGAGGGAGGGAGGGTTAGGGAAGGGTAGGGAAGGGTAGGGAAGGGTAGGGAAGGGATGGAAGGAACGATAGAGGGACAGAATAGCCTGTCTATCAAATATCCTGACCCCCCTCCCCAGTAAGGACGACACTGTACGTACGGACAATTAACCTGTCCAGATTCAGACATAATCTGATGCAACATTTCTTCTTTTATCTCCCATTTTTTTTTTCTCTCTCTTTAATTCATCAAACCGATCATCTGTTTTTTAAATATCTCAAAAATCATCATCAGTGAGTTAAATTAAAATCTCAAGTAACCTCAGAATCTTTATTTATATATATAAAAAGTATAAAATATAAATATATTTTGAATATACTTAGCACAGTATAAGAATATCTGTTGAAACTAAGACAAATCTGCATATACAACAGGAAGACAGTTTGTATTGAAGAAGGCACCGTATTGTGGTTGGCACAGTGGCACTTGTCCCTCTCTGATGCCACACACGAGAATACTACACTAGTCATTGGTGTTGTGATGGCTCCTCACAGGAAGAGTCTCACAGGAGTCCCAGAATCATCCCTTCAGATGTCCTCTAAGACATTTTAAGGTCTTGGGAAGGACATTCAGTGGGGTTTTCCAGGGAGTCCTTTGAGGAATGCATTGGGACTCTGACGAACGGTGTTATAGTAACTTTCCAGGCTCTTGCTTTAGTCTTTTCGGACTCCTGCACGAGCGCCCAGTGCATAATACAAGACGGTGTATAACTCGTGTATAGGATCAACGGGACAGCACGGGTTGTATACATAAATATATCAACACATTTACACATACGCGTACATTAAGGCATCGTAAGGACAGAACCAGTAAGTATTTTTGACACACGCACCAGTCTAGGGTCACATAATATACGTCTCATCATGTCTAAAATAAAGCACATAATGTCTTAAACGGAAAGTTTCACCATGTCTCAAGGAAAGGACTCAGGTCTCGACGAGTTTTCGATACAGATACGGATTAAGAAGTTCCTCGCTGCTGAGGAGAGGAGAGAACTGACTCACGTAACTGATTACCTCAACTTAATCTCATTTTATACGTACGTTTATCGTTTCTCCAGTCGTTGCTTTCTCTAAATCGATCGTTTGCACTTTTCTCTCTCTCTCTCTGGAATAGATTCATTCCTTCTCTCACTCTCCAGTCATTTTCAAACCCTCCTTCTCACACTCTCCATTCTCACAAGACTCTCACGGTGGTGTGCCTGGCCTTTATTCTCAGGCAGCCAGTCTCTCTCTCTCTCTCTCTCCCCACAGCGGGATTACAATGGACGAGACTGGTGGAATGTAGGTACGTTGAGCAGACCCCAGGCTGCTGCAGAGGGGTCTTGGGTAAAGCTGGGGACAACTCAGAGAGGAACACACCTGGCCTGCTCACAAACACTCGCGAGTGTGTATGTGTAAATGTGTGTGTGAGTCCACACACACATTCACACATGTGTATGAGACACATACACATACACATACACACACACATACACACACTGAGCTAGAACTTGACTCACTCTTGTTATGTTATGAAGGTACTCGTACAGGGTCACGAGTACTCGTAGTATTGTCTGAAGACTGAATGGTGGGTTATAGCTAATGTGGCACATATTTCAGACAGTTTGTGAATGCCAATCTTTTGTGAGATCATTATGGTTCATGCAAGATAGGTCATGTTCCTCTCTGAGGCTAGCAACCAACAGTGGGTGTAACTTGACTAGACACAGCACCATTACAGGCACTAAGTGACACTTTGGCTCCTTTACGTCTGGACACGAGAACAGCTGACTGCTCGCCTCCCTCACAGAGAGCCTTGGGGAGAGGTGATATATGACAGTCGTGTTTAACTCTCATCTTATGAAGATTACAGGCAGATTCACAACTGTGGTAACACTATCCGGTTTGTTTTCACAGCCGAGTCAAGGCACTTTTCACTTTCGGCTTGATAATTGCCCAGGAGAGACCAAAATGTCGTTTAGCTTCACCTTCAATTAGTAGGTTAGTGGCGAAGTGGTCCAGCCACGGCACTGTAACTTATTCTATGTGAAGGCACTGGCCTTAGCATGTGAGACGTTACGGTCAGAGGGACACCGGGGAAGTTTGAGCCAAGACTAGGGGTCTCGGGGGACGCATCCCTGGACACCCGTGATCTTCGTGTTTCACCAGTAAGGACATCCTGGAGAAGGTCTTCGGGCAGGTCCTGCAGGCGTACTTCTTGACATCCGTATGGGTTTGGAGGTGAGCCCGCAGGTTGCTGCGGTCAGCGAAACAGCGGTCACACTGCGGGCACTGGAAAGGTTTCTCTCCGGTGTGGGTTCTGATGTGGCCCTGCAGCAGCCAGGGCCGCGAGAAGGCCTTGCCACAAAGGTGACACTTGCAGGGTAGCGTGTGGGTGCGTATATGCATCTTAAGAGCGCCCAGGCTGGTGTATACCTTGTCGCAGTGCTTGCACGAGAACGACCTGCCGGCATCCTTCAGACAGTGGAATTGCCTGTGCTTGGCGAGACCTGCCATAGTGGCGTAGCGTCTACCGCAGTCGGGGCACGCCAGACGAGGGCCCCGGGGCTCCTGCTGCCCCTCAGGGCTACCCTCGCTGCTGCTTGACCCAGTCTCTCCTGGGGGGGACACTGAGCCCCCTCGTGGGCGTGCTGCTGGGCTGGTGACATCCTTGTGGGCGGAGGTGGGCGTGTGAGCGACTTGCAGTGGTGACGGAAGACCGTACACACCCAGAGGAAGGTACGGATGATAGTGCCACGAGCGCACGCCCACGCTGCGCTCCCTCAAAACATTACGCAAAGGATCACGAGGTGTGGGAGGGGCGTAGGGGCTGGTGTGGGCAGTGGGCGTCCCACCCGGCGCCCGTAGGACTGTAGGGCGCCCACAGGCCGCAGCCACCTCACTGATGAGACGCAGGCCAGCACTGCTCATGAAGCTGCTGCTGTTTGTGCTGAAGTTAGCACTGCAAGGACTGCTTGAGCTGTTGTTGACAGTGCTGTTATTATAGCCGTTGATGCTGTTGCTACTGGTGAGGCTGTTGCTGCTACTAGTGTAACTGCTGGTATAGCTGCTGCTGCTGCTGCTGCTGGTGTAGCTGTTGCTGCTGTAGTTATCGGCGCTCCTGCTGTAATTACCACTGTTGTTGTAGCTGACACTGCTGTTGTTGATGTAGTCACCACCACCGCTGCTCTTGCTGGCGATATCGTTGGTGGCAATGTTGGTGATGTTTGTGTTAGTGATGCTGGTGTTGGTGATGTTGGCGGAGATGCTGATCCTGCCTCCGACGAGCCCCAGGAGGGCGCTGATGTCAGCGGGGCGGCGAGGCGTGTAAGTGGGGGCGGGCGAAGCCGGCGAGCGTGTAGGGGCGAGCGGTGTGGGTGAAGGCGGTAACACCAGAGGCGTGGGCGTGGGCGTGGTAGGCGGGGGAACACGACGGCTCTTCATACTTAGGTCTTCTGGCTGCATGTTCTCATCGTCCTCATAAACTGAAAGATTCAAGAGACACTGTTAGATGAGAGAGATAGGTAGAGAGAGATAGATAGATAGATAGATAGACAGAGAGAAAGAGAGAGAGAAAGAGGGAGGTAGGTAACAGCTCTTAGCTTGTCAATAAGATTAGGAACCTTAACCTAACCTTGTAAAAACCTGTGTAAAACAGAGAGAGAGAGAGAGAAGAGAGAGAGAGAGAGAGAGAGAGAGGGGAGAGAGAGAGAGAGAGAGAGAGAGAGAGAGAGAGAGAGAGAGAGAGAGAGAGAGGGAGATGGAAATAGGAGGAGAAAGTCAAATTGAATGAAGAGAGAATCATGGAGCAGGAGAGAGAGAGACAAAGTAAGAGAATGGCAGAGCGAGATAGATATAGAGATAGAGATAGATAGACAGAGAGGGAGAGAGAGATGCACTAGTAGGTCAATATAAACCTCCTGGGGTAGCACTTACCTGGTGGAGAAATATCCATGGAGTAATTAAATAGGGCCAGGGGCCTCTTCTTTGGGGGTCTGGCTATGTACTCCTTGCGTGGGGACATCATATTTATGACGGACGGATAGTCTTAGCAACGTACGACGTCTTGACGCTAGCGAGTTGTCTTAGCAGCCCTACGGAAGTCTAGACGCAGGAAAAAGTCTTAGCAGCCTACGGAAGTCTTGACGCGGGCGGCCTTATGCCGCTGTCACGGAAGCCGAGATTGATGCACTATTACGCACGTGCCATCGTCCCGGGGTCTTATATAGCCTCGGATGCACATGGCACGCGCCGTAGCTGCACGCGCAGCCAATAGCTGCCCCTACACCATGTGACGTCACATCACTTAGCCAATAGCCTGGCATGCATCCCGTGACGTCATAACACTTAGCCAATAGCCAGGCTTGAAGACCAATGACGTCACGTTGTCAATCCAATGGTCGCGCGTGCTCGACTTGGGCGCCACATTTGAACGTTTGGGCAGGTTTCAAGGGGAGGGGGAAGGGGAATTTAAGGGGTGGGGGGATAGGGGGAAGCTCGTGGCAGCTGCGCGTGCTGGTGAAACACCGTTCCATCTCCCTTCCATCACCCCTCCATCACACTACACTGATTTAAACCCGCAAGCAGAACAACCACGACCTTCCTTTTCCTCCTTTTCTATTCCCCTCCTCTTTCCCTCTTCCCCTCTCCTCCTCCTCCTCCTCCTCCTCTTCCTTCTTCACCTCCTCCCTCTCCTCCACCGTTCGTAACGGCGTGAACGACGTTTAAATCTTCTGTTTGTTTTGATTCCCGTTTAATTCCGACGACGCTGGAAAAAAGTAAACAAACACGGCAGCGGTGCGTCGTACCCGGCCTAAAATAACTGCTTAGGCCTACCCGTCAATAATAGCGGTGTCACAGCGTTCAAAAATAGACGAAGTGAAGTGCGTTAGGTGAAAGGTGCGTTATGAAGACTGGTCCTGGGCCAGCTGGTGCAGCACGTGTTGTGAGAGTCAGCTGGTGAAGCACGTGTTGTCAGTCAGCTGGTGAAGCACGTGTTGTGAGAGTCAGCTGGTAGCACTTGTGAGAGTCAGCTGGTGAAGCACGTGTTGTCAGTCAGCTGGTGAAGCACGTGTTGTGAGAGTCAGCTGGTGAAGCACGTGTTGTGAGAGTCAGCTGGTGAAGCACGTGTTGTCAGTCAGCTGGTGAAGCACGTGTTGAGAGTCACTGGAAGCACGTCAGTCAGCTGGTGAAGCACGTGTTGTGAGAGTCAGCTGGTGAAGCACGTGTTGTCAGTCAGCTGGTGCAACATGTGTTTACCTGGAGTTTACCTGGAGAGAGTTCCGGGGGTCAACGCCCCCGCGGCCCGGTCTGTGACCAGGCCTCCTGGTGGATCAGAGCCTGATCAACCAGGCTGTTACTGCTGGCTGCACGCAAACCAACGTACGAGCCACAGCCCGGCTGGCCAGGAGTCAGCTGGTGCAACACGTGTTGTGAGATCAGCTGGTGAAGCCTGTGTTGTGAGAGTCAGCTGGTGCAGCACGTGCCCTGAGCCAGCTGGGGCAGCCTGGGCAGCACGTGTCTACCGGCGGGTATGGAATGACTTGTCTTGTTAATGAACTCTTGAAGTGACGACACAGCTGCCCGTTCACCCCCCCCCTTCCCCTAACTCTCACCCCCACCTCCCCACCCTCATTCCCCCTCCCTTAATACCCCAATAACCCCCACCCTTAACCCAGCCTATCAACATACCCATCGTAACGAAGCAATCCCTCCCCCCTATCCTCTTACCCATCCATTCCCCTACGAAGTTACCTATCCTTCCCCTCCTCCCTACAACACCCCCCCCCAGGGTACGACCCACACAGCCCTCCCTCCACTATACACACAAACCCACACGAGCACCATAGGCCACACATAACCCTGGATGGGATTTAAAAGAATCTTAAGAAGCACTGTAGATGCATTTCAGCCTAAAAGGTATCCCCGTATTCCGTCAGCCCAGCCTCCTCTACCTCGATGCACGCGCGAAAGGAATAGTGCAGAATGGTGCATATTTTTTTTTAAATACGGTTATATATTATCGTTGAAGAACAAAATCATCCAGTCGTTTTAAACGGAACTTAAGACGACGTTTCGGTACGTCTGGATCCGTTTCAAGACACAACTGGTCCGCCCAAGACGTACAGAAGCGTCGCCAAGAGTTTCCTTTACTAAGTGTGAGTTATTTGCATATCAGCATTAGAGGTTTGAAGTCCATCGGTAGAGGCATCCACAGGCTCTCACCTGGAATCTAGTATCCCTTTCGAAGCCGATCGGAAGAGCCATTCTCCAGCAGTTGCATGGAAAGCAGATTCTTTAATAAACACTGACAAATTAAAACTTACCGCATTGTCCGGCATATAAGGCGCACTTTTTTTACGCAAAAAGTCTTGGAAAATCATCCTGCGCCTTATATGCTCGAGGTCAGGGTCAAGGGTACGCTTTGTGTTACGCTTTTGTTTATTAATGTTACGTTACAATTAGCTGGAAACATTGTCTTGTATGTGTCGTTGCTCGTGCGTCTTATATGCCGGAAAATGCGGCATACAACCCGAAATAAAGTCAAGAGTTTCCCAGCAGAAAGAAAAACGTAGAGTGCTGGAAGTTTGAAGTCAACCAGATGAGGCATTCTTTAGGTGAGACACAGAATTCAACAACTATATTGATGTACATAAATGGTGTAAAATGCCGACAAGATGAAGAATTAGACACGTGTGAAACATCTGGGTATCTTTATTGTAGACGTTTCGCCATCCAGTGGTTTTATTAGGACAATACAAGGACATAATGTGAAGAATTATGTAGATGACTGGTTCAGAGACCCGACAAGTTGATAAATTAGACACATGTGCAACTCTTGGGTGTCTTTATTGAGGAAATGTTTCGCCACACAGTGGCTTCATCAGTCCATACAAAGGAGAATATTGAAGAACAGGAGGAGTTTGAGGTAATCAGTCCCTCAGCCTTGAGTTGATGTGATCAGTCCATCGATCTTGAAAAGAATACACTATATGTGCGGAGAAGTAGCTTATATACCGCAGGCAGGAGAGGTGCAGCAGTCGTAGGTGGTGTCACATTTGACCAATGTGGAAGAAGGTCGTACCCAAGGGTTAGATAAGTGAAGAATTCGCTTGGTGTAAACTGATACCACCTACGACTGCTGCACCTCTCCTGCCTGCGGTATATAAGCTACTTCTCTGCACATATACTGTATTCTTTTCACTGTATTCTGATCACATCGACTCAAGGCTGAGGGACTGATTACCTCAAACTCCTCCTGTTCTTCAATATTCTCCTTTGTATTGGACTGATGAAACCACTGTGTGGCGAAACATTTCCTCAATAAAGATACCCAAGAGTTGCACATGTGTCTAATTTATCATGAATTGTATACAAAATATGAGGTAATCAGTCCCTCAGCCTTGGCTGAAGGACTGATTACCACTACCACCATCACTGCCGCCACCTCCACCAACAACCCCCCCCCCCACCACCACCAACAACAACATCCACCACCAACAACAACCACCCCCGACCACCACCAACAACAACATCCACCACCACCACCACAACCACCACACACCACCACCACCACAACCACCCCCCCCCCACCACCACCAACAACAACACCACCACCAACAACAACCACCCCGACCACCAACAACAACATCCACACACCACAACAACACCACCACACACACACCAACAACACACACAACAACAACAACAACAACAACAACAACAACAACCAACAACAACTCACCACCAACAACAACAATCACCACTACCACCAACAACCACCACCATCACCACCACTAACAACAACCACTACCACCACCACCATCACCACCAACAACAGCAACCACCCCCTCTCCTACACACCATCCCCTCTTCAATCCTCTGTCCTTCAGGACACCCAAATCTTTCAGTACCGGAGCAGTTGACCTCCCTTCCATCCCCCTTCTATCCTATCTTCCATCGCCCTTTTATCTCCCCTTCCATCCTATCTTCCATCGCCCTTTTATCTCCCCTTCCATCCTATCTTCCATCGCCCTTTTATCTCCCCCTCCATCTTATCTTCCATCCCCCTTTTATCCCACTTCCATCCTATCTTTCATCCTCCTTTTATCTCCCTTCCATCCTACCTTCCATCTCCCTTCCCATCTCATCTTCCATCACTTTTCCATCTCCACTGACCTACACATCCACAAGTGGGGTGACACCTAGAAGTACAATCATGAAAAGAGAGAGAGAGAGAGAGAGAGAGAGAGAGAGAGAGAGAGAGAGAGAGAGAGAGAGAGAGAGAGAGAGAGAGAGAGAGAGAGAGAGAGAGAGAGAGAGAGAGAGAGAGAGAGAGAGAGAGAGAGAGAGATTATTGCAAGCATTTAAGTCTCCCTTCGCAACAGCTATTCCCTCTAACTACGAGCATCCATAACTAGCATTGAGAGGCACTGCGGTGCTAACTACCAGGGCCATCAATATAAACGAGGCACTGTGTGCTTTCCTGAGGTGCGAGTGGGCAGTATGTGAGGTACTGATGAGGTGGGGTGACTGTATAGGCGCTTCTGGTGTAAACTAACCCACCCACTCACCCAAAAACCCACCAACCCACCCACCAGACAAATCGCACCACTGCCTCCATCATTACCAATAACGACACTACCATATGCTACCCACCGTAGTTCACCAGTGGTGTTTGGGGGAAGGGGGTGGTGAGGTGGGGAGGAAAGGGGTGAAAAGTGGGGAGGGAATGATGTGAGGAAGGGAGGGGAGATGAGGTGGGGCGGGAAGAATACAGAAAAATAAACTTTTTTAAATTATTATTATTATTATTATTATTATTATTATTATTATTATTATTATTATTATTATTATTATTATTATTATTATTATTATTATTATTAAGGTAATCATGGAAGGTTCCAGCTTAACATTCAGTTCAATCGGCAATAAGAAGCAAGAATATACACAAGATAATCGTGTGTTTCAACTTGTATTCCCAACATCAGAACATTATACACTAAATACAAATATGTACTGACTGGAGGGGAGGAGGAGGAGGAGAGAGAGAGAGGAGGAGGAGAGAGAGAGAGAGAGAGAGAGAGAGAGATGAGAGAGAGAGAGAATGATAATATATACCTTGAAAGTACTTGAGGGCCTGGTTACAGATCTGTACACTGCCTTAATAACATACCGG